ATTCACAAAGGAAAGCAGGACTAGAAATGTATCGATGGTATTGTACGCCAACATTCCAGGTTTGAACGTGGGGAGGGGGGCTTTCTTTAAAGCTTGCAAAGTTTTAGGGGGAAAATAAATGAGCTGAGTTGACGGACATAAACTTCGTGTATCGGAATGATTTCTCAGCTTTGCAGTGCCTTTTCTATTAAGACGGAATATGAAATGATAATTATTATGACCTTCAAAGGGAAATTTTATTTGAATTTATTGCAGATAGAAGTACAACACCTTGCAGAACATGGAGGAGCACAAGGTTCTAGTTTGTCTTTTGAAATGGTCCGCACCTATAAATTGCTTACAAAGTAACAATACAGCTGATTCATTATTAGTTATTGACAAATGTTTGAACAGAAGATGCTATTACAGATGAACACGAATTTGTTCCATGCATGAAGTGCAGTTATTTAAATTTGACAAATTATCATTCAAGTTGGTAAACGAAATTCGGATAAAATATGCACGATATTTTGAAAAAGAGGAATAAACTTTAAAACACAAGTCATTTTTCTCGTTTAAGGAATGGTCAAACTGAAATCTAAAGATACTTAAGGGGATTGAAGACGGATCCAAGGAAACCAAATACATTGGAAACTCTCGAAGACCGAATGAAACTCTACCGACGAGTTTATCATCATATTTAAAGAAAATGTCACAGATGAAGCTATTGAAAATGAAATAGAGACATGGCAGATAGGATAATCCTAGAATACTTGGCTTTTAACTAATTCGTCCAAATACACAGCACAAAAAGTAACATCCATGTAATTCCTTACGTCTTGTTAAAAATGGGCTAGCATTGTATCGTGCTGTAGCATATCGTCCATGAACGTGTGTTGGAACGTCCTGCAACAATTTTGAAGAAGCTTTCTGAGTGAAAATACAGTATTTTTCACCACTGAAGAGGAAGAACTGGGTTTGTATGCTTGAACTTACACTATTAGGATACACATTGCGTAGCATCGAGGGGACACAGGATCGACAATGTATAGCGGCGATGTGGTATAGAATCAACATCGGAATACGATCATTAAAAGTCATAAAAACATTCTGATATCATTGTGATAAAGTGATATTGTGATAGATATTGTGATAAAGGCATTGTGAGAAAAGACACTGTGATATCATGATAATAATGAATAAGAGGATTAATGCACTTTTATACCCAGCATAAATTCGTCTCAAGCATACAATTGACAATCACTAGATCGACTTGACATAGCTCTGGATCTACCCGAGTACGACAGGCAGAGTACCAACTGGCCTCACTCTGCTTGTTATCGATACCATCATTGGCATAGCGTAGACAAAATATTATAATTAGCAAAATAGTAAGAATTTAGTAAGAATTCGATTAAACTCTTGTGTTCATATAATACGGCAAAGCAAAAGCCTTCTGTTTAGCGTATATTTTAACCAATACTCTACCGATTTCGAGGGCAAACGGGTGCAGGTCCTTCATCATAAGGGGAATAGGTGAAATTTATTCTTGGTTAAAATGTACGCCGAACAGAAGATTGTTCCTTTGCCTAATTTTATGTTTGACTTTGGCGTGTTTTTTTTCTCTCTTGATTATTGTTATTATACTTTAAGCTCTAATTGCACTAAATATAAACAACAGGTAAGCTTTCTGGACTGTCAGCCGGATTGTCGTGTCGTCTTATAATCTAAAAATATAAATTAATCACAAAAAAGCTAAACAATAACTCAAACATTTAGTTACTACAAAAAAAAAAAAAAAAAAGTTTGACAAGAACTTGGTGTCTACGTCTTATAGCATGAAATTTGAACAACAGTCCAATTACTTAGAAAGTAAATTAAAATTAAAGAGTAAGAACTGAGTTCTTACGCTAAAATGTCTTCTATTGCGACTAATGCAGGGGAGCGCTAAAATCAATAACAGTCATCATGACATTACAGCAAGGTAGAATGTGAGAAATACCGCGCCCTTGCTGCTCAAAACTACCGATTTTTCTTACTTAACTTAGTTCCTCGCTCGTCATTCAAACTGACTTAATTTTCCTTTATAATGAAATGACAGAAAGTAGGAATTCAGAAAGAATTTAATATAACACAATAATGTATAAATTGATATAAACTTCACTGAGAAATACAGTTAGTCTTTTAATTTCGCTACAAATGTACATTTAAAAAGGATTTCTCTGGTAACAAAAATTTGACGTATTATCAAATTATTAGCAAAAGCATATCGATAAAAACATGAACAAATCAAAATGCTAAAACAATGTTTTCCAGCTTTTTTGGTTTACGGTCCCCCTCAAATACTGTTTACTGCGCAAAGCCGTGACGCATTTGATATATATTTAATGTAATCTGCAAAAACTGACTAAAAATACATAAAATATTTTTAGTTATTTACTCAAGTTTTACTGTATCAAATTATAAAATAAAACTCATCACACACTGTGGAAAATAGGATAGATAACGATTAAAGATTTCTCAAACTTTATGTAGTAATAAACCTGCAAAACACGCATCATAAAATACCATGCGCAATGGTCTTTAGGATGATCAGAGAGTCCCTTTATACGTACAATTATTTCATTCTAACATTCTAATAACACTTACAGTTATGTGTACAAAATGTTTTTATCTATACCACCATTAGGCTTTCATAATTTGATATCCCTGAATGTTCTCTAACTCATCCGCTTTAGCAGCTGCGGTGTCATTTGCTTAAAGGCTTCAAATATACTTTCTCGGAAAGCATCATTCTTCACGTACCGCTTTTCCTTTGATGATCCCCCACAGGGAATTCTCTGGTGTGTCAGGTCCGGTCTTTAACCCCTTCGCGCCGACTGTCATGTATACGTGCCAGCAACGAACACACTTATCTACCGGCCGACACGCAGGCGTGCCAGAGCATTGTTGCATTCTCTACCGACTGTCACATATTTGTGCCAGTACCTTGGAACGTTTTTCCAACTATAATTTCTGCCACAAGATGGCACTGTATGTCCATATGGTTTCAGATACATGTGCATTAGACCTTCTTGAAGTGAGAGAAGCATGACTCACATACACGTGTTTTTGATTATATAAACAAACGGGGAACTAAATGTTTCCGAATGGCGTGATTTATGACGTCTCTTTAAATCGCACTTTATTTGCACGTGGTAGTTGTTTATTGTAAGTAGAAGTTTTATATGCGCTAAAGCGTTGAGTATTTCCGTTTACAGTTCAGTTTTTAGAAAATAATTAGATCTTGTTAGACGTGAATTCTTTCTGTTTTTACCGTTTCAATGTCGAATCGTCGAAAATGTTCAACAGAGCATGAAATAGCAGAAATGATGCAAAATACTTCAGATATTGATTCTGAAATTCTGATATTCTGATATTGGTTCTGAAAGATTAACTGAAAGACATTTTCCAAAACTTTGTTCAGAAGAGACTGATAAGAAAATGAGACGACGATGCTTCGTTTGTTCACATTCCCGGAAAAATCCTCCAAAACGGCAATGAGTTATTAAGAGTTCAAGGAATATAACGTAGGACTGTGTGTGGATCCCTGTTTTAAAAATTTTCATACGAAAAGAGAATTTTAAGTAATATATTTAGTTTTCAGATTATAAGGTTAAAAGTCATAAAATGGTGAGTAATTAAAATAAAATGTGTAAAATATGCATTTAAACAAGAAATAAGGTAATTAAAGTATATATATAAAATATCTATAAAGCATAAGCCGTTTAAATACTCTATAGAGCATTATTAAACAATGCGTTGATACTTCGGAAATTTCATGGATTTAGGCTTAGTAGCAAAAAAGCCCCCGGCCCTGGAGAGCGCTCGCGGAAGACACTGCCGGCCTCCGCGATAAGCGCGCGTTTTCGCTACCCGGCTCGAAGGGGTTAAGGCGGCCAAGCATAAGGGATTGGTGAATCCAAAACACTTCCCAGGCAAAAAACGTTCTTCTCCCACCAGATGAAAATCTGACGACTTTTGGATTCTTACCTAACTAATCACGAAACGTATCCATCTCCTGTGCAACATTTTCGTTGTTGTGCTACCGTTCATAAACTCACAACACTTGCCACTTAACGCTTCTCCAAAGTGAAGGTTCCTGGTATCTGCCATTGTTCTTCACTAGCATAGAAAGACGCGACAATGAATTGGTTATGGCGCAGACTTTATTCTCCTCTGCGGATAGTCACATAGCAATCACGTTGAAATTCACATGAGGAACACTGCTGCCATATCAATGATCAAGATGGGAGATTTAAATCTTAAATATCTTACGATCGTATACTGTTACAGGCATTTAGTTTAGGTGTAAAGAGATTTTCTGGCCACAGTATACACTGAAAGGATATGGGTGCAGTGGATATCACTTCAAAGGCGGATTTATGGTCATGTTTTTGAACACTTACCTGATAGTTTGTAAATTCCAATGTGGTAGAGACCAACTAGTGTGATGTATTAACTCGCAAGATTTATGGTATTTTTCCACTCTGTTTCGCATAGCTTCGTGGTGTAACTGGAAACACGTTCAACGCATATTCCGGGTTCCGAAGTTCAAATTCCAGCGAGGACACTGCACATTTTCCACGTTCCTGTATCAGTATAATCTAATAACTCTAGAGATATATGGTTTACGCAGCCTGATTTAAGCATTTTATAATTTCTCATTTGCTTTTAAATGTCTGTTTGCTAGTAACGCCCCCCGTATTTTCTCAATTGCACTTTGGAGAACTAGTGCGAGCTAGAGCTAGAAGAATTAATTTGAACATTCAAGAATATATAATCAGTTATGATTATATTAAAAAAATATAACCAATGCAGCACCTTTTGTAACTAATACGAAAAGCCCTAAATACAAAAAATTAATATGTTACATCCTAATTTTTTGATGGCGTCGAAATGGCAGTACTATCCATGCAACATAGAACAATTACAATTTCATTATCATTTTATTTCTTTCAGACATTTTGAAAATATTTTACCTGTTTCTTTCATGGTCTTCGGAGATTTTTTCATGCGTTTTGCGTCTTGTTCCTCAAAGGACAATGTGATATTGCTAAGTATCAAGGAATCATGTTCATATCTATTTGCAATATTTTGTGTAGAAGGTTCTTGGTTTAGGTATTTTGAAGTACGCTGCAAATTCAGTTCTCGGTATGTGTCAAGGCCGTTAGAGAGATTGTGGCCGACTGCAAAGAAGCAACCTACGGCTAAAATTATATGTGCTGGCATTCGGTTCATTCTGAAATAGAAAACAAAAACTAAAACAACAGTTTGCGTGGTATTTCCAGTTTTAAGTGCATGCAAAAGGCTTAAATTCATTCTAGATTATACCTCTATTTTCTTATATATCTTTGTAAACGAGAAAGGTTTGGTATATTTGAATATGGCAAAGCACTCAATGGCTATCTACCTAAGATCAGCATTGCCTTCGTGGAGTGCTTCCAAAGGTAATTTGGCTCATATACGCATTACACACGAGAAAAACCTCGAAAATGTCCGTCCAGCCAACCCGTTCACCGGCATTCGAAACCCGGACTGAACTATCAGTGTTCAGCTACTTTATCCTTCGGCCGCTGGTGAGCCCGCGAACGAGAAAGAAGTTTTACGTTTTGAATTATTATATTATCAGTGCATAAGTTCCGCTTTTTTATGAATGGGCATTTCTCTTTTCGCAAGAGTCCTAAGTCCATTAATTCATTGCTTTGCTTAGTTTATAAGTTGATATTCGTAAAATGCAGCGTATTCTATTCACTCAACAGCAAGCACTATGTAGTAACCACATTTTATGTCTTTTGCTAACAAAATAAGTTGGAGTGTCAGGTGAACTGCATGAACTGCAAGTACGGAGGTACATTCTTCTTCGAACTTCACTTGAACATGAACACATGAAACATGGGAAATGTTCAAGATTAATGCTATTGTAACCACGGAGAGAAAATGGTGGTACAGATTATGCAAGATAACTACTCAATCATTGTGTGGCATATGCATTCAATGCGCAAGATTAAGAAGCGGCATTTTTACTTTTAAATACTTTTGAATTATTGATCTGTCTCTCTATCTCTCTGTTCATTGTTGTTATAATCATCATGATTATTGTTATTACTGTTATTATTAGTAGTAGCAGTAGTATTGTGATTCAAAAAATTTATTCGGATCATACTTTAGTTGGAACTACATTTAGTGAAATTTTTCGTGATGGTCGCCACTGAAAACGATGATTGTTTTTAAAACATAAATAAATATCACATTTCTAACCCTACCATATTTATGGAATTCCAAAACATTATACTGGAGTCGTGTTTGATCATTCTGTGGAAGTTTTATTATTTATTAGCATATATATGTATATGTATATGTAAGAAAAATAAAAAAAAATATGTAAAAGATTAAATTAGCAACGTAAATTTCCCTTCTCAATTCTAAAAATAGTAACCCCTTTCTGCACTGCGTCATTTCGAGACTATTCTATGTCATATGATTATTACGTAAATATGAGGATGTAAATGGAACTAAAAGTCAACCAGCCAATAGTAATTTTACAGCAATATCAACTGTCCAATCAAAATGCTTTGAAAACCAAAACTAACTCAGTCTGCCTTGAGTTTTCATCCTGAACATTATTCACTTTCTACGTTTTGCCTTAGCTAGACTGCTGTCTGTCTGCTGCTGCTTTCTTGCTACAATGTTATCAAAAATGTAAGCCTTTTGAAACAGACATATTTAATGCGCTGACTTGTGTGCAGCCGCAACATCTTGCTGAAAATAAAACTGAAGATTTAATCTGCATTCGCCTCCAATTTCTTAGTCATTATGGATCATCTACGCCATCCAAATTCCTGCTTCTGAATATATTACATATATACCCATTTTCATGTATATTTTAAGAAGTTTCATTCATGCTATCGCTATAAAGAATCATAATGTATTGCCATATATTGACATACAAAATATTTCTGCAGTTTACTGCTCTTTGCTTGGTTTCGTTTCAATCCAGTATGACAGCGAAAGAATATAAAACAAAGTTTTATTTTAGATATTTTGGCAACCCGAGGAGTTTCCTAAAAGAAATCTGAAGATAAGAGCTTCATCATTAAGTTAAAAAAAATTAAAACAGTTCATAATTAATTCTCTATCAATTTGTGTTTTCATACATGCGCAAAAGAACGAAGTAATACTGAATAACGTTATTTAAATTAAGATACAATAAATTAATTAATTGGCTGTACATGGGCATTTTTTTATATAGCATAAGTTTCAGAATTAAACAACGTTTTTAGCTGTGCCACAGCTACATTTATAGGTAAAAAAAAATTGAAACTTTGAAAAACATATTCGAGCAGTAGAACAATTATAATACACTTTTGTCCAGAGTTATATGTATATGCTTGAGACCATTGATTTCTCTTTAACTGTATACATAATTTTATGAACCTGAGTAGAATGATGCATAATATCATGACACATAAAAAATTAAGATCACTGCATAAGATGTAAAACTGTAGCATGAAACATGGAAAATGATCTAAATATGTTACAAGGATAGTTTAGGGAAGAAAACGAATAGCTCAGAAAAAATAAAACCGTATGAATTTAATATTTATTCTGAATATCCTCTGACTTGTACGCACATATCCTAACATGTCTTCATGTTGGCAATAACGCTGTTAACCCATGCTGTTTTCAGAGGATTTATATCTGTAGGAGAGAGAGAGAGAGAACGGAGAACGTGGACACTATCCCCTTATCAAACGGTTAATTAGTATAGCACCACGTCCACCACTATCTATAGCAGCCATTCAAAATACATAATGCCACCTGAAAGGTATTCAACGTACACGACAAGACATACAAAATAATATGTTACAGAGTTAAAGATTAATATTCAAGATACATTACATGATAGATGCAGAACTGATAAAAAGCTGGTATAATACTGATATTAACACTGATTTATACTGCTACAGTACTGATACATTGACATAACACTGAATATTATTACTGATTAAATGGGAATGATTTTGCACAAGTCGTTAAATAAATCCACAAAATAATACGTTACAGAGACTCAAAATATTGCGAATTAAAATATCACAGATGAATGTTCTACTGTTACATTACTTGTAGTATTGTACTATCTATAGCACCTTTACTTGTACTATATATAGCACCCCTTCAAAATACATAATGCCACCTGAGAGGTAATCAACGTGCACGACAAGACATACAAAATAACATGTTACAGAGTTACAGATTAATATTCAAGATACATTACTGGTACATTACTGATGCAAATATGACAGATGCAGAACTGATAAAAAGGGGAGCGGGATGTCTCCATGCAACTGCTTTTCCAAAGTAAATTTTTTCTGCTGGGTTAAAATCAGAAAGCATTGTTAGCCACAGTAGTCGATCAATTCTTTACTTTCCAGGAATTCGTCAACGAGGTTGTAAGGATCCTAAGTTTTAGTAATGTTTACTTTATTTTAAGACTGTACCATCACTTCTTATTTTCTACTTCCGGCCAGAATTAAATGCTTTAACTTGTTTATGCACATTGTCTTGCTAACGCCCAAGTACTTAAGTTGTGGCTTTTTGCCAAGCGGGAGAGAGAAGGAGTTTTAGGAAGCAAGCCGCTTGACACTGCAGTTTTACGAGTTTTCATTCGGTTGCTGGTTGCCTTTAAGGCCAGAGGTATAGTCCTCTTGATATTTGCAAACGTATTGTAGTTTCAGCAGCTCGGCGTACTACATACGTACCCCTTTTAAATAAAGGCCAGTCTTAGTGCTAGGCATTGTATAATCAAAGTTAGCTTTTAATTAGAGTTTTAGTTAGTAGTTTCATATTCTTATGTTCAGACCACAAGTGGTTGGCTCTGTATTCCGAATTCGGAAGTGCCTGTAAAGTATTGAAAATAAGAGTTTGTATACCTTCTGCTTATGTCGTCTGTTATACACAAATCTTGAACATAGCTTGAGTAAGCTCCCTGTTCTTATTCAGGACATACCATGTTTCCAAAGCAAATCAAGAGAAACACAAGTCCTGACAAGGTTTTTGCAGTGGAGGAGAGCATTGCCGTCCGTAATAACACGTTAGATCAATATGGACATCGAAAATGTTTTACGTAGGGTTGGTTCTAAGACCTCATCTCTGGCCGGTCACAGATTTGCTGTTGAAAATGTTGAGATAGGCACGTCCAACTATTATTATTCCTTGCCATGCTTTTAACCTGCGTTACCGAAATGGTCAAGTTGCATAATATTCGCACATAATGGACGATTCATGTGTTTCTGATTCTCTCCAGATGTAAATGCATTCAGAAATAGATCTGAAACTTAACTGTGACTCATCAGTAAAGAGGACACAAGACCATTGACATTTATTTCAGTTATGGTGTTCTTTGGATCATTTAAAGTGATGCTTCTTTTGTTCTGAAGATTGTGAAACATATACCTTTGGCTTTCGAGTATAAAGGCTTTTTTCATTAAATCTTCCTGTATTGACTCCAGTGTAACAGTTCCAGTGGTTGCAGTAAGCTCTGAACCTAACTCCCAAACAGCTGACCCGGGATTACCATATACCATATAGACAGTTATCCCCAGTTATTAGTTTATATGAAGCAAACAGTTGTTATTCTTTTACCACCTTGTCCAAGCGTCCTTATTATCTTTTACCATCTCACTACTTCCCTGATTATGTACTCTATTTGTAGAGTTTCCGATCAAGTTTCTAACCAGTTATTTTATGTTAAATTTTTTCTTTTCTATGCCTCTCATTTCCATTTGCCCGCCAGAATGTAAATTTTTAACTCGCGTGATATTCAAATGAAGTAGAAAGAATGGTCTGTTCAAAGGAAAGTTTTAGAGAGTAGAAACAGAGGATGTTCAGCTTGCTTGAAAGTCACGTTGCTAGTTTGATACTCTTGTGAATAGTATCCTGCGGCGTGAGTTAGTCTAGCGATTAGGCCTGTTAGGCCGACCTTAGAGCCAGTTTACTCGTTATTTCAGTTGTGAAGCCGTTAGGCTAACTTGCTTTCATTAGATTAGAAGAGAAACACGCTAATGTGACAATCAAAATCGTAAAAACAACCTTGTATTTAGCGTAGGTATAATGAAACAATCGATTTCGAGGGCAGCTAAAGGTCCCTCCTCATCAGGAGAAAGAAATACCTAGAAAGAAGAAAATAGAGGAAAAGGAGTCACAGAAACACGTGGTCCTTATCGGCACTGCACGTGGTTATAACTAGATTTTTAATCAGAGTTGCACTGGCCGCCTACTTTTACTGAGCCAGGTTATCTGATCAAGAATAAAGGACAAGAAAAATTAGCGAAGTTAAAATAGGGAGCGAGGGGCAAATGCACCTTACTCTCAAAATCTGAACTTCAAATAATGGAAAGCAACCACTGAACGGATTTTAGTACCCTCTGGTAGTACCAAACGCGAGGAGGTAACGCCATCTATCGGCAATTGTTTTCCATTATTTGAAGTTCAGATTTTGAGCGTTTAAGGTGCATTTGCCCCTCGCTCCCTATTTTAACTTCGCTAATTTTTCTTGTCCTTTATTCTTGATCAGATAGCCTGGCTCAGTAAAAGTAGGCGGCTAGTGCAACTCTGATTAAAAATCTAGTTATAACCACGTGCAGTGCTGATAAGGACCACGTGTTTCTGTGACTCCTTCTCCTTTATTTTCTTCTTTCTAGGTATTTCTTTCTCCTGATGAGGAGGGACCTTTAGCTGCCCTCGAAATTGATTGAGTGTTTCATTATACCTACGCTAAATACAAGGTTGTTTTTACGATTTTGATTACTTTCATTAGTTTTAGTTAATTTGAGTTAAGCCAATATCTTTTAGTTAAGCCATACCTGTTGGCTTCACTAAGAGCAATTTGGAGCCGTTGTTAAGTTTTAGTTGAGTTAATGATAGGACTCGTTTCCTAACTTTATGTTACTTAGTGATATAAATGCCACTAGATTTTACAAGAGTTTTGTCTAGCCTAAGTTACCAAAGAAGACCAAACTGTATATACTTTTAAATGGCTGATGGTTCGCTACTTCAGTGATTCATATGAATTGATTATCAAATGCTGTATTGCAGAAATTCTGTGAGGTACTGATCTTGCGCAAAACGCTCGATTCACCGTAAGATGACCTAACGCCTTGACTTGCATATCAGAAACCTTTAGATCATTTTCGATAGGATAATGCTCAAAAGTTGATTACAATGATTGGATATTTTATAGAATATATAATTTTGGGTATGTAAAAATAAATTTGACTTGAGTGTATTATACGAATGATTACCGTAATCGCCACCACATTTAGTAGTAGCATCTGCATTCAAGACAATACAGTAATACAAGACACAGTTTCCGTGCTTAAAAAACGCCTTGGTTAATAACTTATTCTTGATTAAATTTGATACACTTACTGTGACATTAATTTAAAATTTTCGAAATTAAAGTTTTAATTACTTTCATCTTAAATGGCCATTATGGAAGCTTAATTAATAACATTCAGCAATATAATAAATACATATGTATTCATATATATTGATAAATAATATAAATTACCTTTCGAGTTATGCTTTCTGCGATGTTCTTCCAATACACCAACTCTTTCCAAATAGTATACTATTCTTTTACACTAGATAATTTTTTCTCCAAGTCCGATATTACTTGCTTTCTTTTTTTTTTTTATACAGTTCCGCCTCCAAGATCATTTATTTCTCACTTCCGTCTAATCTTTTGATACAGAGAGCGCAACAAATGGAGCGGAAATGTGATTTGACCTCAAATAAGGAATCGCTTATCTAATGTTTAAAACCATAGGATATTTATCAGACTTGACCTTTATGTTTTTGGCTCCTAGACTACTGCTTCTTATAACTTTCTTTTTGCCATTGTTGAAGGCTGAAATTTATAAAACATAATCATATTTAACAAATTTTACTTATGAAGTAATTAATATTATGGCTCGCTATGAATTCTTGGAGATCTTTTGTAAAGAGGATGCTGGATTAACAAGAAGAAATTAATACGTTGTTGAAATAAACAATGGCTCTGAGTTAGATAAACAGGTAGAAATAGCTCTAGGAGAAAAGCAGAGTTGTGACAAATTCTTAACACGTGAAGAATTTCGCATATCTGCAAAATTAGTCAAAGATTAATGCTCAGTGTAGTAGCCTACCTCTGAAACCAATTACTAAACTAATTAACGGTTTCAAAACAGTTGCTTTTAGGATTGCCTAACTAGTTTTGGAAGCTTTGAGATATATCGCTTTTAAACTTCATGAATGGGTTTTCCAGAAACATTCAAATTTTCACCAAACTGGTTAAAAAAAAAAGAAAGAAACCTGTCACCATGACCCGTCAGGAAAGTTCTGCAATATCTCTTCATTCGATTCAGAGTTACAAAATCTTCATAAAATTAGACGAAATAACTACTTGGAAACACAAATTCTAATTTAACAACTTTACAATAACATTATGACATAAAATCCGTTAAATAAATAAATAAATTTAAAAAAAGAAGTGAACACTGTATAGAAAATCAAATCTGCAATCAGATATATACAAATATTTGCATTAATTGTCCTAATCTTGCTGACTCTTAGAGAGATATATGGTCCTTCCCTGTTCAATCTTTCCACCATATTAACCGTCTGCGAATATAAAAAGATCTGAATCTTTTCAATATACCGGAAATCTTGCATATTCTTTTAAATATGACTCATGAAAAATTTAATACTATAGAGGTTCGATAGTCAATATTTCTTGGCCAGGAATAGCATACGTTTAAGCAGCCTGCATTTAAGTAGTACACGACGACTAGCATTTATTTGTTATCGTAATTTGCCCGGGAAGAAAAGGGAAATCAGGGGAATGTCAAAAGCGATCTTCTGATATGGTGCTGTGCATTATAGCACTACAGTCACCTTCGAGTACGCGTTTGAGACTTTCCGTTCTGTAGACGAGACGAATCGAAGGATTTGCTGCATGTCTGTATCTGCTTTGGGCTTCTACCAGAAGAGATGTCCACGATATTTAGAGGTCTTCATTACATGCACAGGACCACCAGCATGGCTTGAAGTTCTAATAGAATAATTGGTACTCGAGATCTTGGTTAGGTAAGTTGACATCTAAAACTGTTCCCGTCGCCTGTTTCCATTTAAGGTAGAGAATTTCCTTTCTAAACTAAAGCGAATCCCCCTACAGCCCAGTGTATTTCGTTGATGCACTAAGAGTACTGTTTCTTCCTATCTTAGCTTCTCGTTTGTTATTTCCATCTTCGATTATTGGTCTGAATTCAGGACCTTTTATTGGGGCTTTTTCACAGTTCTTCATGGTTAATTACATGCATAAATTTCTTATGTTATGGAGACTATGTTGACACGTCTGACTGTGAGAATTTCAAAGCAATATTTTTCCTTCGATTATAGAGACATTAAGTAATTTCGAAGCAAAAGAGATGACGAATGACCAACACATTCGCCGGGACTTGAAACACGGGCCTCTCGAATACGCGCCGAGTGTGATGATCACTACAATACGAAGACATGCTAAGAAGGCGGAAGAAATAACTTATTACGCTTTAAAACAGTATTTGACTTTTCTGCACGAGGTTTTTCTTGGACTGGTAAATTAGCATTTCCCTGCGAAATCGAATTTACTCCTTGCATTCCCAAAATTCCTCTATGCAAGGCTACATGTTCTTCAACTACCATTATATAATAATGCGATCGTCGTTTCTTTATGCATCATTATAGGTTTAGGTTGTAGTGCAGCGGACAGCCATTGCTTAACCATTGTCCAACTGCATTATCCATCTTTATTTGAACATTATTATTTTTTTGAAGAATTCTGACATATTTACAATTTTTACATACATTTACAATAAAATTGTAACATATGCTACCTTCCATACTCGAATTAAATATAGAACATAAATACAGAATATAAAGATTATAAGGCATTTCTCCGGCTTTCCTAGCGTGCTTTCGTGGTTCTGCACGCTGGGCCGGTATTCCAGAGGTCCGTGGTTCGATTCCCGGCGAAGGCGTTTGCTAATTTGTTATCTCTCTTGCTTTGAATTGATCTAATGTCTCTACAGTGGCTCCCGAACTAAAAGGGTGCTGGATGAGGATTCTCCACACCCAGGATTTGACGATTGGATCCCCTAAAACCCCCAGTCGCCATTTAAAAGGGGGAGTATATAAGGTACTTCTCCCGCCTTCTTAGCGAGCCTTCGTGGTGTAGTGATCTACACGCTGGACCGGTACTCCAGAGGTTCGTGGTTCGATTCCCGGGGTAGGCGGTTGCTAATTTTTCATCTCTCCGACTTTTCCAATCAACCTAATGTCTCTACAAGGTAACTACAAAACATAACGGTAAATATATGTGGTAGGGGAGTTCAGGATGCTAGTCTAGGGTCCATTAACAAGTCCAAAGTTTTTCACACCACGGAACATTTAATAAAAATAACAGAAGAAGGTACATTAAATCGAGTCACAGTGCTGTTTGATGCAAACAGGATTCTGGATAGCTTTTGCCAATTTTATAACATAGCAGCTTAGTGCCTACGCGCACTTGCTGTCGTATTATGCAGTTCCATTTACCACCTTTTCGTGGAAACATACAGTTCATTATTTAACCACCTTCTAGTAGAGACATTTTACCACCTTCGCGTGGGATAGACGAGTGCCTGTCTATGTCATACTCCTCTTTCACCTCGCTCTCGCTGCTGGCGCATAGGTGAGGCCATCTGGTGGTTGTGTTGCACTCACGGATACCACAACTCGTCGATCCTGACCCGGTTTTTCGCCCTCGAAAACACGGATCAGCGACACTGGAACATCAAGACAGCACCTGTAAATAAATTAAAAAAAAAAAAAAAGAAGTGCGGAAGAACCACACATAGTCCTAGACAGTAGCAGTCCAAGCCTTCATGTGATCAGCTGCTGTAGTGGTACATCCAGGATCTTCATGGTGTCCCACTTTTTCCACCCGGTAGCGATCTTTGCCTTTCCTCGCTGTTACACGATATGGACCGAAGAATTTTGGCCTTAATTTTAGACCACCTCCATACTGCGTTCTTTGTATGGGAAACAGATCGTTCATATTGTATACCTGAGCCTCTTTTCTCTTCTTGTTGTATGTTTTTCTATTCTCTTCCTGAATTTTTAGAATATTTTTCCTTATCTTCTCGATCTTTTATCACAATATTTCTTTCTTCTTCTTCAAGAATTTCCGTTATCTTTAAATCCTCTCGATTTCTCATTTTAACACCAGTGAGGAGCTCAAATGGAGAACTCTTTGTGCTTCTGCTCTTAGTACTGTTTAAGATCTGTTGCACATCTCCAACATATTTGTACTACTTGGTTGGATCATCTATGAATAATTTGGATAGGAGTGGAATCAGAGTGAGATGAATTCTTTCCACTTGCCCATTTCCTCTAGTAACGCCTGTAGTTGTAAACATGTGCTGGATTTTCTCTTGACTACAGTAATCTTCAAAGTCTTTAGAGGTAAACGCAGTACCTTTATCGCTTATATTTCTCAAAGGATTACCGAAAGTTGATTGTTGCAGTTTCAGCTTCTGCAATGCCTCTTGAGCTGATGTAGACTTTACTGGATAGAGCCATACGAACTTTGTGAATGCATCAACCACGGTTAAGATATGATTGTAGTTCTTATTTGTCGAAGGTAATGGTCCTATAAAATCGATATGAAAAGTGCTCAAAGGGATACTATCTTTTGGTATAGGATTCAGCAACCCTTCGCCCTTACCTAGTTTTCTGTCGCATAAAATACATTCTACACAATTTGAAATGACTTGTTCAATTCGTTTTCTAAGGTTAGGAACATAAAAGTCGATTTTCGACAGATCTTCCGTTTTAGACACTGCGAAATGTCCCTTGTTTTGGATACTACGTATGATTTCTAGCTCTAACGCTTCGGGTACCACAAGTAACTCGCGACCACTGTCGAAGTTGTATAACACTCCATTTTTCACTAGGAAATCTTTCTTTAGTCCTTGCTCGACAAAGGATTTTAGCAATTGGAGACGCTCAACATTTCTTTGCGCAGCTGCAATTTTGGCTGTAATTTCTCCCTGAGAATAAGTAACCATCATGACATCGTTTCTACTTAACGAATCCACATGCTTCATTTGTTGCCCAGCTCTGTGAACAATTTCATAGTCAACTTCTTCTAGAAGTAACGCCTATCTCGCCACTTTAGGAGTTAGATTCTTCTTGAACATAGTCTTCTGGAAAGCATCGCAATCCGTAATTATTCTGACCTTAGATCCTGAAAGTTAATTTCTGAATTTCTTTAGAGCTTATACTATAGCTAAAACTTCAAGCTCGCAACTAGATAGCTTCTCTTTTTGGAGACTAGTTTTTTTTTACTCATGAAGTAAATGGGGTGTAACATCTGACTTTTGTAGCAATACAGCGCCGAAACCATGACTGCTTGCGTCTGTATGCAATTCTAATGGAGTTCCTTGTTTAAAAGTATGAAGCAGACATTCAACAGAACTTAATCCAAAACAGCTAGAGATAGCTAATATGATTTCACCACGAATTCGCTTCAGTAAACAACATCAGTTTTCTAAACAAACTCGAACTGAGAGATTTTGATCCCGCTTTTATAAGCTTTTTTAAAAGGAAGAGAAACTTCCCGATTTTTCTGGATATTAAAAGAGTGCAGTTAACAGAA